ATGCATAGGACTATCACGACTCCAGTGGCGTATCAATGGCTACCCGTTTCGCATGCGATTCAAACTCAAACTTATGGCGTATTTCGAGAGATTGAGTAGTAGTCGGAAAATTGGTGTAACCCTGGGCCCACCATTACCTTGACATTCCCGGTATTTTTTCAGGTATGTCGCATTAAAGTATAAATATATTTTAACATATATTTGTTATTTAATAAATTGTGCTATATATTGGCACTAACTTACATACCATACTTGTCAATCAAAAGTGAAAGAGCTAGTTATATATTTATTATTAATTTTTTACAAACAATTTTAAATAGTTTATAGTTAAATAGATTAATAATTTACTAATTATAATTGTAATCACATATAATGTTTTCCCTAGATGATAGATAGATAGATAGATAGATAGATAGCTATTTATTTGTAATTACATTAGATAGTGTATATAATTAGTAAATAATTAATTAATTCAAATATAAACAATTTAAAATAGTTTGTAAAAATAAGAATAATATAATAAATTTTATATAACTAGCTGTCTCACTTTTATATGACAAATATGATAAGTATGCAATTTAAATCAGTATCCTATTTGCCCCTGGGATGTTTGTATTATTTGTACTATTTATAGTATTATTTCAAGATATTATAAATTATTATTCATTATGTCATTAGATTGTTATCCGGTTTATGCGCTATTTCATCTTGGTCTACAAATTTGCAAATAAATTAAAATATAATTAAAATTTGTAACTTATTAAATATTTAATCTATAAATTATTAGTATTGTATAATGTTTTCATTAAATATTTATTTATTTATTTTAAATAAGTAAACTTGTTTGATTCTCAAAGTGGCCAAAACTGGCCTATATCCATTATAACATATATTCTATAGGCTAGTTTTGACCATTTTGAGAATCAAACAAGTTTACATTAATTAATTATAAATACTGTATATACTGTATTATATATTATATGCACATATAAATCTTATATTTTATAAATTTTTGAATGGTTCGATAAATTTTTAATAAATCGATAAATCAAAGTTTAAACATTTTCAAAATAAAATGTAATATGAATTCTTAGTTAATAACATTAATATTGTAAAATTAGCAGCCTGCAAAATTTTTCGGATCATCTATTGTTAGTCCATTCGTACAGAATATTCCGTAGACTTGTGTCGCGAACTCCGATTTCTTAAGCCAAACATTTCGACAGTCATTGCAATTAATTTTAGTCAAGATTTCATTCAATGAGTTTTGTTTCATAAAAGTCCCGAAAATGGATTCATCCAAATATGCCAGCGACTTATCATTGAACACTTCAAGTGAGACAGGTCGCTTACCACCGCCAAACGCACCCTTACTTACACCACTCATATCAATGAAATCGTTATCAAAAACTAACTTTAAGTTAGTTTTCAATGTGTCGTCAAACGCGAAGGCATTGTCAGCGATAGCCGTGATATTAGTCAACGATATTTCCAGACTTCTTAGAGTACTTCCCAACGATTTAAAGGCATTCCTAGAAATTTTGATACTATTTTCGTGATCTATTCTTAAAGTGTTTAAACTTTTATGCACTTTGAATGTACTTTCATCTAGGACGGTTAACGAGCAACTGAATATAAACAGCCTTTGTAAATTTTCAAAATTATGTACCAAGTTAAATATATCGCTATTATCAGCGAGGTTTATGTCATTAATACATAACTCTGTGACCGAATTTAAAGTACCGTTAAACGCGTGTTCGTCGATATGTTTTAATTGCGCAAGGTTGCTGATATACACTGTTTTAAATTTTAAATCAGCAAACGATTGCCCGGGTAATTCGCTAGTCGTTGAGAATTCAAAATCAAGTACGTCAAAATATTTTTGCTTCTCATCCAGTGCCTTGCTCATATTTTGAAATAACCCTTGTATATCGAAGGTGTCTATATCGTAACATCTTAGAGTAGTTATATCATCAAAATCATCGCATCTACATGGTGTTATAGCTGTTGGTGGTGGACATAATAGTGCATGATCAATTATTAATAAATATATTGCCGCGATTACTTTAATACCTATTTAATAAAATAATTATATAAAAATTTTAATATATATATTCTTTTAAAACCTTAATGTTATTTAAGTTAATAATTAAAAAATTTATAAATTTATAAATTAAGTATACTTCATTAGATATTTAAATACTCACATAAGTATTTCATGGTATAATATTTACTGTAAAATACAAGTATTAATTCATACTTTAACAATGTCACTTTTACTTCTTATTAAATACCTTTAAATGTTTGCGTTTAAAATAAATTATCTATACATTTATTATAGATAATTTAATACTAATAAAATTATTTGAAAAATCTAATAAACTCATTTGAACTAGTATAACAAACCGTACCTATAATATTGAAAGTTACCGTACCGTACCTATTTTATTTCAAATGTAAGTTAATATTATGTTAACTATCATATTTTTATAATTATAAGTACATGAGTACCATTTTTTGGTTGATAATTTTATAGATTAAAATACAAATCTATACTGTTACTATTAAATTGTGCAACATTTAATTTGAAGTCAATATAATATGGTATCAAACTATTCAGTAGTATGTATCTATTTGTATTACCCACTAATTGTGCAATACTATTTTAAAATGTAACTTTAGTTTTTAAATAGTTGAGGTACAAATTATGCACTTATAATATAATTCATACATAACTTACCAGTGCTTCTCTATTAGCTATTCAATAAATCGCTAAGCATAAATTGAACCAGCATAATTTGATGAATAATTTATTAGATCAAACAAATAAAATTATCATTTACATCAAAATTAATATTTATGAACAAAAACTTTATTTTAAAATTATACTTTTGAGTTTTACCTTCATGTGATTAGTACTGGTATTTTAATCTAGTTCGTTTTGATTATCTATAATAATGATTACACTTCGGTACTACAAAACGTGAGGACTATATACCCGAAAATACTTTATTTTGAAAAAATTTACAATAAAACAGAAATATTTTAATTTTAAACACTTACAATATGTTTATCAATATTATGCTCATTAAATGGTACAGGTAATTTAAACATAATAATGGCCATGAAAATGATCAACATAATTGTATGATTTAGGTTATTACCGATATTTATGTCACAATTTTCTATTTCTATTCAAATGTACTAGATAAGAAATTTGTTATATGCTTAGCAATTATTATCATGTATACAATATGACCCGCATATAGACAACTCTAATTTAAGGGCAACCATAAAATAAGTCACATATGTATGTCCCGATTATTTGCTGCAAATGCTTAAGTACTCGGGTATAAAAAATAATTGTTATAATTAATTAATTGTTAACAGTTATAACTTAAACTTAATTCATTTATAATTGTCAATTAAATATATGCATGGATATACACCGTGTAGTTTATTTTAAAATTAGAGTTAGTTAAACAGCATTGCTTGCATTTACTACAATTACTTAACAATTGACTAATGAATGTGTAATAAATTATTACTAATAATAAAATAATCAAAAAAAACAATTATTATCAAATTAATATTTAATTTTTAGATTATTTACAATAAACCAATAATTATGGTACGCTATAGGTACAGTTAGACAAGTGCATTAAAAGTATATATAAATTTAGCAACTAGTGATTTTAAGTCATTTAGCAAATTAGCAAAATGAAAACTTTGGCTTTATTTTCCTTATTATTAATAGCTGTAACTGGTGTCCCATTTATAGACAAATTGGTTGAACCCCATGAGGGAAAGACATGGGTGCTATTATGCTCTAGTGGATTCGGATGGGATAACTATCAAATGGAGGTTGCTATTATTTTATATTTTTAATCTCTCTCTCTCTCTCTCTCTGCACTGAAAATATAAATAACTTAATTAATACCCAAAAGGCCGACGTATACCACGCCTACCAAGTAATCCGTAAACACGGTATACCCGACGAAAACATTATTGTTATGCATTACGACGATATCGCATATCATAAACAAAACCCGACCCCCGGTGTAGTCATCAACCGAGTGAACGGCACTGATGTCTACAAAACCCCGTACGAAGTGCCCAAACACTACACGGGGGATGAGGTGACACCCGAGGTAAACCATATTTATTTATAGGTCATTTTAATAAAGTTATTTATATTTATAATCAAAAAGTAAAACTTATCTAACTCCATTATTTGCAGAACTTTCTAGGCGCACTTAAGGGCGATGTTGAGCTAGAGAAACAGGGTAAAAAGGTGATAAAAAGTGGTCCCAATGATCGTATTTTTGTGTTCCTTGAAGATCATGGCGGCGAAGGTATAAAAATATTTAAAAATCTATTTTAAAATCAATAATAATTGCACTTGTATACATAAATAGAAATAGTACTATTCTCCCATGATGTATTACATTCACTTGAATTAAATGCCATGCTCAAGAAAATGCACATGGATAATAAATTTAGCCAGCTGGTATTTTATTTGAATGCGTGCGAAGCAGGTATTATATATATTGTGTAAAATACAGATGATCATTAAAGTTGTATATTAAATTAAAATTAACAACATTTCAAAATAGGATCCATGTTTGAAAAACTTTTACCTGGTGATATCAATGTCTACGCTGTAACTGCAACTAAGCCTGGTGAAGTTGGCTGGTATGCTGAGAAAGAGTGGGACACGTATAAAACTTGGCTAGGTAAGTTTTATAATTCTGGACCCAATATTTATTTTTAAACATTTAATTAGTAACACCTACAATTTTTAAAAATATTTTCATCATACTAGCAACTTATTTTACAATTGTATGGCTCGATGACTGTGAAAAAAGTGATTTGACCAAGGAGCTTCTTTCCACTCAATATGCATATATTAAAGAGCATAATAATTTAACCATGGAGGGCGAACTTGTATTTCAGCATGCTCAGCAATATGGGGATTTAAGTATCGCTGCTATACAACACCTATCTGATTATCTAGGTATAAATTAAAAATACTCATATATAGATAAGATTTAAATATAATATTTATGGACTAGGTCATACATTAACATAGTATGGCTCCAGAGCCAAGCTAGCGTTGTAAGGCATAGTCATTATTTATCATTTAATACAACACTAGTATTTTAAATGTTTAATGAGTAATTTACTATAATACAAACTTTATTTATTTTATTATTCATTGATATTTGAATTAAATATTAGAAATTATTAGTTCTTAACATAAATGAATGTGAACACAGTAGTCAAATGTGTATTTTTATATGATTAATAAAATAATAGCTTACTATTTCAAAGTCACTAATTCTTATATTAAAAGTTTATAGTATAATTGTTGAGTACTAGTGTTGAGTACTTTTAAT